CCCAGAATTTACTTTTTAAGGCTGAGTAATATTCTATTGTATGTATATACCACATTTTGTTTGTCCATTCATTCGCTGATGGACACTGAGGCTGTTTCCACCTTTGGATATGTGACTAATGCTGCTGTGACACTGGTATGCAAATATCCAAGCCCCTGCTTTCAGTTCTTCAGGGTATATGTCCAAAAGTGGAACTGCTGGATCATATGGTAATTCTCTCTTTAGTTTTTTTTAAGGAACCATCATACCTTTCCATAAGGAAACACCATGGATTTAAGTACAATTTGAAGCCGCTGTAGTGACATGATCTGATTGATGATTTTTAGAGAGAATTCTGCTTCTCACAGTAGCTGCCGTGTCAAGAATAGATTGAGGAGACTGGTATAGAAGAGGAGAGCAGTTCAGACATGATTGCTGGAGTGACTGTGGGGATGAGAGAGAGAGCTGGCAGTACCTGCAGATGTGCCGATTGTGGAAGGGGAGAGCAGGGGGGAATCTAGCATGACTCCCAGGTTAGAGCAGCTGGAGGGATGCTGGCACCGTGTACTGACATGAGGGAGACTGGCGGGGGCAGATTTGCGGGGGAAATCCAGAGCCCGTTTTGGGCATATGTTGAATTTTCCATTTTGTTCCACATCCAAGTGAAGATGGCAAGGTCAGGAAGGAAGCCCCAGGAGTCATCTGCATATAGATGATATTTCAGATCATGGAACTGAGTGCAGTGTCTGCGTTGGGGTCCCAGGGGTCTTGTGGACTTGAGTTTTGAGGACTGAAGCTGGTTGAGGTGCTGGAGTGTTGAACCTAAGTTGGAAGGCTGTCACCACGGGGACATGAGAGTGTGGCTGGGCTCACCGGTGCAGCCATGCTCAGCTCCGGTCTTCTCAGTTCTGGGTCCGTCCAGTAGGCCTGGGGGTGGGACAGGTGGAGGAGTATCATGAGGGGCATTGCTGAGGGGAGTTGTCTCCCTAGAAGGGCTTGAGGCCAGAGACTGGGAGTCTCTCGGGCTGAGAATCCCTGGGTCTGGCCTCGCCAGACTGGAAGGAAGGCATGGGAGAAGGGCTTTGTAGTGCTCGGGGCCCCCCTGAGGTTCACAGCTCAGTGCTTCACTGTCTCTCACCACAAAACCCACTTCCTATGATGTTTTGTCCCTGGGTTATCTCCACTACCGTGAACTTCCTGTGCGCAGAACTGGGCGAGCTCTCGGGGAAACAGCAGCCATGCTGAGGAGCCTGGGCTTCCTCCCTCCTTCCTGTCAGGGCCAGTACCTGAGGCTGCAGGTGCACTATGAGTCTCAGAGGGCAGGACCCAGACCAGGCCCCTCCCTGCCCAGAACAGCGTCTGGCACCTGGCAGCACATTGGCAGACGTTTGTAGAGTGAGTGCTGGGCTGAGGCTGCTGCATGCGGCTGATTTTGATTCCTGAGGTCCTGGCCCCCAGAGATAAGAAGCCTCATTCCTAGAGTAAGTAAAATACAGCCCCCTCCTCAGATGACTGCCTGAAGAATCCATTCATAAATGAGCTCCATGTCGGAATCACCTGTCTATCCAGTAGGATTGAAGAAGGAAAAAGCGAGCAGGGCATGGTGGCTCACACCTGTAATTCCAACACTTTGGAAGGCCGAGGTGGGCAGATCACTTGAGGTCAGGAGTTCAAGACCAGCCTGGCCAACACGGTGAAACCCCGTCTCCACAAAAAATACAAAAAATTAGTGGGGCATGGTGGCAGGTGCCTATAATCTCAGCTACTTGGGAGGCTGAGGTAGGATAATTGCTTGAACCCAGGAGGTGGATGTTGCAGTGAGTCGAGATTGTGCCACTGCACTCCAGCCTGGACAACAGAGTAAGACTCTGTCTCCAAAAAAAGAAGAAAGAAAGAAAGAAAGAAAGAAAAGAAACATGAGAAAAAAAGAAGGAAAAAGCTGAAATTCCAAATTATAGAGACTTCCCTTCTCCTAGGTGCCACTCTCCAGGGCAGCGACCAAAGAACAACTTCAACAAACCCCTTTCTCTCCCTTCTTTCTTTCCCTTTCCCTCCTGGGATCTCACACACAGGGAAATGGCAAGGCCTTGGACGACTGGGAGAGGAAGCAGAGACCACCTTGAAACTCGGGTACATTAAGTCCTTGGCCTTCTCATCTTAATCTGCTTCAGGATTAAAAAAAAAAAAAAAAAAAAAAAAAAAGGTCCGTTGGCCTCCACTTCCACCTGGAGGGAGAGAAGGTGGAGGAGGTCCCTCAGTATGTCAGAACTTGGCTGGCGATCCTGGCTGCTGCCCTCTTGTGCTCTGCCACCCTGGGCTCAGTCGACTTTGAGTCTTACTTTCCCATTCTATAAACCACTGGGACAATACTCTGTTCTCACAGGAGTTGTAACTTATCTACAAGAGAATGTAAATAAGGAAAGTACCATGCAAGACACCGACCTCACCTGCACAGCACACACTCCAGCTCAGGCTGCGGTATATGCGTCGTTGGCGCGTGTGGTGACATACATTTTGTGGGGAGAATCATCCATGCAACCCCTCAACTGCTCTAATTTCAGGACCTGCCATTGGTTGTAGAATGCCTGCACTTCAGAGGCAAGTGCCCACGCTCTGGGCTGATCCACAGTCCAAAAGGAAAAGGACACACTCAGAATTTGTGCCAGCATCTGATCCCCCCAGCATCTGGAAACTGCGGCTCTCCATTCTGCACAAGAACAGAACCGTGGCGAGAATAAACCAAAATGGCAGTAGTAAAACATAGTAAGAGGTTGTGGAATTCAGTATTGTTTGAATGAACTGCTTCAGAATAGAAGCTATTCTGGTTTTTTTTTTTTTTTTTTTGAGACGGAGTCTTCGCTCTGTCCGCCAGGCTGGAGTGCAGTGGCCGGATCTCAGCCTCACTGCAGCGCTCCGCTCCCGGGTTCATGCCATTCTCCTGCCTCAGCCTCCCGAGTAGCTGGGACTACAGGCGCCCGCCACCCTCGCCCTGCTAGTTTTTGTATTTTTAGTTGGAGGACAGGGTTCGTTCACCATGTTAGGCCCATGTTGGGATGGTCTCGAGTCTCCTGACCTTGTGATCCGCCGGTCTCGGCCTCCCAAAGAGCTGGGATTACAGGCTTGGAGCCACCGCGCCCGGCCTGGTTTGTTTTTTGTTTTTGAGACAAGTCTGCTCTGTCACTCAGGCTGGAGGTACAGTGGCTGGATCCTCGGCTCACTGCAACCTCCGCCTCCTGGGTTCAAGCAGTACTCTTGCCTCAGCCTCCCAAGTAGCTGCGTTTACAGGTGTGTGCCACCACACCCAGCTAATTTTTGTTTGTTTGTTTTTGTTTTTGTTTTTTTGAGACGGAGTTTCGCTCTTGTTGCCCAGGCTGGAGTGCAATGGTGCGATCTCGGCTCACTGCAACCTCCACCTCCCAGGTTCAAATGATTCATCTGCCTCAGCCTCCCAAGTAGCTGGGATTACAGGCATGTGCCACCACACCCAGCTAATTTTGTATTTTCAGTAGAGATGGGGTTCCTCCATATTGGTCAGGCTGGTCTTGAACTCCCGACCTCAGGTGATCCACCCGCCTTGGCCTCCTGAAGTGCTGGGATAACAGCCATGAACCAGTGCACCCAGCCTAATTTTGTATTTTTAATAGCGGCAGGGTCTCGCCATGTTGGCCAGGCTGGTCTCAAATTCCTTGGTGCAAGTGATCCATTTGCCTTGGCCTCCCAAGTGCTGGGATTACAGGAGTGAGCCACCGTGCCCAGTCAGAATAGAGCTATTATTAATGCTCTAAGGATTTCAGACTAAATTACGGGGCCGTGAAATAAACTCTTCTTTGAAAGGAATTGGAGGTCTCAGTAGAGACATCTTCCCTTCAAAAAGTTTTCCCTGCTCCTCAAATCCAGGAGATTTGACCCTTCTTTGGGACCCACACCCCAGCACTACCTCTGTTAGATCACGGATCACCTGCCCTGGAATTGCCTGTTTCCTGGTCGACCTTGCTTCTGGGTGGTGATTCCTTAGGACAAATGGTCAAGCCGGCTGGGCTCGCCACTGTGCCTGGTCCATGGTAGGTGCTTGGGGCAAGTATTTTCTTAATGTAATTAAAAAGTTGCTGGGCATGTTTTCACCTTAAAGAATTCTATCTGCAGAGGAGGTTACAAAGGGGATTAGAGTCAGATGTCCCGCTGCTGATCCAGCAAGCAAGGAGTCACCATTTGTGTATGCCCACCCATCGACGTTACTGTGAAGAGCCTGGAAGGCAGGGAATCCTGGACACTGGAAAACAACTGTGCAATGGTGCTGTGGAATCGCAGCTCTGGCAGATGGTGGCTGAAAGGGTGGAGAGACTGAGGGAGGCATCTGAGAGCCTCTGTCAGAAGTCTGTACTTGGGCCAGGCATGGTGGCTCATGCCTGTAATCCCAGAACTTTGGGAGGCCGAGGTAGGTGAATCACTTGAGGCCAGGAGTACAAGACTAGCCTGGCCAACATGGTGAAACGCTGTCTCTACTAAAAATATAAAAATTAGCCAGACGTGGTTGAACGCACCTGTGGTCCTAGCTACTCAGGAGGCTGAGGCAGGAGAATTACTTGAGCCCAGGAGGTGGAGGTTGCATTAAGCCAAGATCGCACCATTGCACTCCAGCCTGGGTGACAGAGTGAGACTCCGTCTCAACAACAACAACAAAAAAGTTTGTACTTGATGTGTGACCACAGAAACACAACTCTGAGGTGCTGTCATTAGAGAGGGTGCCCAGGTGAACAGGCACAGGATCTAGCACCACAGAGCCAGTGCCCTGGTGAGGCAGGTTTGATCACAGGCAGGCAGGGCTTCTTTCTTCCTCTCTCCATCTTCCCTGTTAACCTCCTTCCCTGGCTCCGGCTTCTGTGGGATGGTTCGGTGCAGCGGGTGTTGGGGGTTTAAAATTCAGGCCTGCTAGAGGCCTGAGAGCCCCTAGGTTGGTGCCCACAGGGGACTGGGTATATGACAAAGTGGTGGACTGGCCACAATGACACTGTCCCTTCCAGAACACCTAAAGGAGAAGCTGGAGCAGTACGTGAAGCAGCTGCAGGTGGTGAAGGTGGTGCGGCAGGAGGAGCGGAAGGGGCTGATCACTGCCCGGCTGCTGGGGGCCAGCGTGGCACAAGCGGAGGTGCTCACGTTCCTGGATGCCCACTGTGAGTACGAGGGCACCAGCCTGGGCGTAACCTGGAGGCTCCCTCCCTGTTAGAATGAGCCAGGGCCGCAGCCTCACCAAGGCCCCTTCCTGTTCTCTGTTCCGGGAGCAAAGGAGGCTTGGGACCCACTCCAGCTACCTCTACCCCTTTCTCACCCCAATTCCAAGGATGTTTCATCAAGAGAACAAAGCCCTAAAACAACTGGTGACCCCAAAATCACTGGAAGTGTGATCTGGGGCCCCAGACACTCATCCACCCCTGTACTCCCCATATGCACCTTGTTCTGAGCTTGGGCCCTCAGAGAGGCCTTCTGTTATGACTTAGAACTGGCTTGTTTGGGGCTTTCTTCTAGGGCAACATGGAGCCAGGAAGGCCTTCTTCTTGCCCAAGACCAAAACACCTCCCCACTGTTGTGGGGGGTGAAATCTTTTCCCCAGGAGTGTTGATATATAGGGGAAGCTCTAGACTTGGAGTCAGAATTCTTGGTTTGCATTCTGTCCCTGCCACTAACAGTCTCAGTTTCCTCATTTGTAAAATAGGAGTGAGGATACTAACCTTACTGAACAGAACTATTACTCAGAGGGCCGAATGAAGTAATACATGCAGAAGCTCAGTGAAAATCTCAAAGAGCTAGACAAATGAAAGAGATTATTCTTCTACAATTGGGGCTGAAGCTTGACATGCAGATGCCCCTGGGAGGGGGAACACCCTCTTCTGAAATCCACACGTGGGCCGGGAGGGCTGAGCCAATGGATCAGCTGGAACCCCTGAAGATACCATCCAGGGCCTCCCTGTGCTTTTGGGTCATCTGAGTTGACCATGTTACTCCCCAGAGACTTCCGTTCTCCCTGCCAAAGTTGCCTCCGCCTTTGGGGGTAGAGGGGTGGTAGGAGGGTTTTAGGAAATTCTGTGTGCTCCTTGCAGCGGTGAGGCTTGCTGTCCTCCTCTGCCTGTAACCCGGGAGTAGGTGGAAGGTCTCTTATCTTCCTGGGTGTTCCCCCCAGGATGCAGCTTGGGCTCAGCTGTGGGCAGGACCCTGATTGCTGCCTCCTGGTTGGGGCCTGCAGGTGAGTGCTTCCACGGCTGGCTGGAGCCCCTCCTGGCTCGAATCGCTGAGGACAAGACAGTGGTGGTGAGCCCAGACATCGTCACCATCGACCTTAATACTTTTGAGTTCGCCAAGCCCGTCCAGAGGGGCAGAGTCCACAGCCGAGGCAACTTTGACTGGAGCCTGACCTTCGGCTGGGAAACACTTCCTCCACATGAGAAGCAGAGGCGCAAGGATGAGACCTACCCCATCAAGTAAGGACCGCAGCCTGGTGAGCCCCCAACCTAGCCCCAGCCCTACCCAGTTCCAGGAACCTGTGCCATCTCACATCAACGTTTGTAAGGTGCTCTATCAAGCACTCGACATATTATGTTTAATCCTCACTCCCTATGAAGCAGGTACAATGATTAGCTTTATAGAGAGAACACTAAGGCTCATAGTGATCAACACTGACCTAAGATCATGCAGCTAGCAACAGTGGAGCAAGGACACCCTTCCTGGCCTGTCTGGCCCTAACTGTGGCACTGCACTGCCTCACACCATGACAGTTTGCTCTTATTCACCACTTACCATGTGCCAGGCACTGAACTAAGGGCTTTACATTCTTTAGTTTATTCCTCCCTACACATAAAAGGACATGGCCCATGCTTGCAGATGGGGCAAGAGATGTGATGGAGGCCATTATGGAATAGTCACTGTCATAAGAGGGAGTGTTGTGTGCCCCCAGGAGACTGTCTTTGAAAAGACTCAGAATATAATGAAAGAAAATAGACATATTTTCTGCAGCATGAAGTCTGTAGCAGTTGCCCCGAACTTCTTTGGTGAAGGGCCAGATGATAAATATTTTCGGCTTTGCCAGCCACATATAGTTTGCTGCATATTCTTCTTAATTTTTAATTTTTTTTACAAACATTAAAAAATGTATAACCAATTTTTTTGCCCCAGAGGCTTCTAAAAACAGGCAGCCAGATTTTGCCCACAGGCTTTTATGTGCCAGCCTCTGAGCTGCAGGGTAGACAGTTGGAAGTCAACCCACTGTTTAATGCCCACTGGGCTCACCTTCCCCTCTTACACCCACCCTGTCCTCCCCTCTCCAGACTGCCTGTTGGTGTTATTGGAGACTGTAAGTTTATTTTAACAGTTGTCTCAGACAAACCGAGTTGAGGAGTGACTTTTAGTGTAGCCAGTGGTTTGGGATTATTTGTGTCATTGTTATCTTAGACTGGCCAGGATACTTAAGGGTCAACTGAACATACATCCGGGACGGAGGGAAGCAGAGGTTGGAGATACAGTAGCCAGAGATAAGAGGGAAGGTTTGAAAGGAGGAAAGGATTAGTGCTTCTTCCTCTCCATGTGCCCAGAACCCTAAAAACTGCTGTCCATGCCAGGCACAGTGGCCCATACCTGTAATCCCAGCTAGATGAGAGGCTGAGGTGGATTAGGTGGACTGCTTGAGCCCAGGAGTTTAAGAACATCCTGGGCAGCATAGCAAGACCCATCTCTTAAAAAAGAAAAAGAAAAGGAAAAAAAAAAACAAAAACCTGCTCAGAGTCCCAGTAGAAAGGAACTCAGGTGAATGCCACAGGGAGAAATCCCACAGATCCTGAACAGCCAGCTGCTCGGTCTCCACTAGGAGAGAAGGAAAGAAAAAGGCAAAAGAGAGAAAAGAAATTTGAACTTCTCACTGACCCAATGCTTGTTTCATAGCTGCCTTTTGTTTGGTGTGCACAGCAACAGATCCCCACCCCCACGCCAGTGACCAGGCACGCAACGGCACAGTCAGAAAGAGGGTACCTGGCCCCCACCCATCACTGACGTCACAGGCTTCAATGTCCAAGGGCCATACAACTGGAAGACAAAGCTCCAGTGTTTGAGGAATGAATATGCTCCTTGGCCCACATGCCCTGGTAGCATGCATGGCTTGCCGAGGCTCTTCACGTAGTGCCCCCACCCCAGGAGGACTGCTGACGGTCCCCTCCTGGCCTCCCATCTCAAACCAACCACAGCCTAAGAGGAGAGTCAGAGGATCCTAGGGGTAGGCCAGGACATACAGGGTGTTTACTAGAGGTTGCCTGTGGTCGTGAATTTACAGTGAAGCTTCCCATGCAGGGTTTGTCCTCATAACTAATCCATCAGTGACTTCTCAGTCTGGGAGGCCTCTCAAAGACAAGACTCAGGGCCTGTGGGGGAGGAAGCAGGTTGGCTTCCAGGTGCTGCTCTGCAGCTCCAGCACTCTCTGAGCTTCTCAGGGTGCTACTTGGGCTGGTTTAAGAACCCTGGGAGAGGCCGAAGCCTCTTCCAAAGTGATAGGAAGCCAGCCTGAGCATGAGGGTTTCCCAACTGAAATTCCTTCCAGAAAGTGGCTGCAGGAGCCAACTTCGGAGAGACGAGAGCAACCACAGGGTAACACCAGGGTCGCGTTCCTGGGTAGTCACCTCGATGGATCAGCGGAATGAACAGTGATTGAGCCCCAGCTGTGTGTAAGGCACCTGGATAGGTTCTGGGGTTACAGGGGTTTCCGTATCTTTCTGCTTGGTTGTACCACATGAAGCCACCCACTGAGGGCAGCAAAGCCCTACCCATGCCAGGCTGGCCCAGACACAGAAGCCAACAGCTGATGATTGTGCTCCTGCCCTGTCTCCCCGGCCCCCACCCCCCATTCCATCTTGCGTATACTTCCCCGGGTCCGCTTGGATACCCTAACGCTTAGCCCAGTCCCTCTTAGAAGCAACCTGCTATCTAAACTCTAGGAATTAGATGTTTTTGTCAATTTATCTCATCTTGAGTCCACACCTCCCTGCCTGTGTCTAAAAGCCAGAATCTTTTTATAACCTTCTAAATGTTCCCTATAGCCCAAATTGAGCTTGATCTCACCTGACTTTCCACTGTTTCCCAGAGCACCGCTTATCAGCTTTCTCTGTTAAAAGCAACTGGCAACTTCTCCCTAAATCTACAGTTTCTCATGCAGTATAAATCACCAGGGATAGGCACCTACTAAAACTATAGCTTAATAGTCCCTGAAGGGCAGAGCCCCTGAAACAGAATGGAGTCAGCCCAGCTGATAATATTCATTCATTCATTCATTCATGGTTTGAATCCTGCCTATGTTCAAAAACAATTTCACACAGCTTCTGAAAGTTGAGTATCTCCTAGGCTCCAGGCACTTTGCTGCCAAAAAGTAACTAATGATAGCTTTAACCTCTGTGACTAGATTGAACTCTGGGGGAATGGGATCTTTCTCTGTTCTGTGTGTCCATCATGTAGCACAGGCCCTGGTGGCCAGTGTTACGTGCATCCTAGGTTGAACGAATCAATGAGTGCCTTTTAGAGGATAATTACATATTTCCTTGATCTGGTCCTAGAAGGCGAAGAGGACATAGTAAAAGCTAAATGATGAGTGAGTTAGTGGACGAGGGGCTGCACGTCCTGAGAAAGAGGATAGGAGCGGGAGGTAGGTTAGGAGGGGAGTCCACAAACAGCTTTCCCCGCCAGGCTCCGCTCCTCCTCTCCCAGAAGATGCACATGCTTCTCCCTCTGTCTCTCCAGATCCCCGACGTTTGCTGGTGGCCTCTTCTCCATCTCCAAGTCCTACTTTGAGCACATCGGTACCTATGATAATCAGATGGAGATCTGGGGAGGGGAGAACGTGGAAATGTCCTTCCGGGTGAGAGTGAAGAGGGCTTCGGGGGGAACCACAACATCCCAGGGGACAGCTTGAGAAATATTTCTCAGGCAGTGGTGGCATCAGGGACATCCCATCTGGAACTGAACTGGAAAGGGTAGCTACTTCCCAATGTGGCTCTGCCTCTTTTCTGCTCCCCGTGTCCATGGCAGTAGGGCTTGGGCACTCAGCTTGGACAGCTCAAAATAAACTACTAGGCACAACTTCTCAGAGGGAAGGAATAATAGGGGTAATGAGGACTGGACATCTGGAGACTGGGGACTCTTTTGCGATGTCTGTGGGAAAGGGTTAGGGTGAAGATAGAAACAGGTTAGTATGTTCACAACTAGGGCTAGAAAAAAAAAAAAAAACAGATCAGTAACCAGTCATCATCCTTTTTCTGGAAAAATCAGGCTCCCCTTCCCAGTTCAAAGGATATATGCCCTGGTAACCTTTGAAGTTTCCCTCCCTATGCTCAATAAGCCCTTCATAACAGTTAGAGAAGATGGTGGCCCTAACTCTGGTGGACCCCAGAACCCTGAGAGATTCCAGGAATTAGGCAAATCAGGATTAGGTCAGGAAGAAAGGATTGCCTCTCCATGAAACCTACACAAATCTCCATGCCATGGAAAACTAATTAGTAAGTAGATGAGTTCATTTATGAAGTCACCTCTCATGGTGCCTGATGAGTATTAAGCACATAATGGATGCCTGCTGTTACTATAATGATGATGTATTTCTGTTGCTCCCACACTAAACTGAATAACAACATACCTTCCCATCTAAAACCCAAGAGAGAAACCAGTGGAAGGGATGTCTTCAGCCAGCCCACCAGCATAGAAAAGGGTCACCTGCCAGTCACCCCAACTCCCAGCAGCCCAATCCTAGGCTCCTCCGTGAGCCTCTGACCTCTGTTGACCCTCCTAGGCAGCCAGTGTGCTAAGGGCCCAGGTGACTACCACTGGCCACCTAGCAGCCAGCTATCCTTGCTATTAATTAACACACTGATGCTCTGGTTTTTATCACCTGAGCGAGCTGATAAACTCACATTTCCAGGTCAAAAAACCAAGTGATCAGAGCTCAGAGTAGGTATACAGGCATAGGGAACAAAAATTAACCAGCAGGCTTTTCCCTAAAGTGGGCCCTGGTAAACACAGGACCCTGCAGTCTCTCTGTGCTTAAGTCAGAGTGAACCAACATCAGAAAGCCTGAGATTGTGTAGTCATGGCCTAGGAAGAAGCCTGGTCAGTCTCCTTTTTTCCAGGGAGAGAGAGCAGCATTTGCCCAAGTTCTTGGACCTGGGATCTGGTGCCCTGGGAATAGAATAGAGCTGCTTGTGGGGACACTGTCCCACCTAGCCCGCTGAAGGCCTCGTCCTGTCTCCTCTTACATCAGGTATGGCAGTGTGGGGGCCAGCTGGAGATCATCCCCTGCTCTGTCGTAGGCCATGTGTTCCGGACCAAGAGCCCCCACACCTTCCCCAAGGGTACTAGTGTCATTGCTCGCAATCAAGTGCGCCTGGCGGAGGTCTGGATGGACAGCTACAAGAAGATTTTCTATAGGAGAAATCTGCAGGCAGCAAAGATGGCCCAAGAGGTGAGAAGAAATGGTCCTCAGAGAGGTTTAGATGAAGAGAAGTATGGCCCCCAGACCCTGTTCATGGGCCTAATGGCTGGGGCCCACCTCATCTCTACCATCTGGTGCCTCCCTTCACCCTCAGGGCCCTGTGAGCTAGAGCCCAGGAGAAGGCCACAGGGCACATAGTTTTTGAAAGCTAGAGAATGTTGTCCCTACGCATAGAGTCTCTGCATCCCTTCGGAGGGGAAGGGAGGGAAAAGAGATTTAGGGGAAGAGCCTCTTACAGGAGGAATGACTCTGAGAGCCTCGGCATTGGGGAGTGGGACATAATTGTCTGGGGAGTCACAAGAGATGGACCGATAAGCAGGGGACTCCAAAGCTAAGGCGGGGTGTTTGGGATTGAATGTGAGGCTGGGACAGTAGCTTCAACAGGTCCTGAGTGGGAATGAACATGAGAGACAGTAGTCCCAGTTGCTTTATACTATCTGCACTACTTCAGTCCAGACAGAAAGGTCAAAGACTGGTGGAACTGGCTGGGTGTGGTGGCTCACGCCTGTAATCCCAGCACTTTGGGAGGCTGAGGCGGGCAGATCACCTAAGGTTTGAGACCTTAGGGTTTGAGACCAGCCTGGCCAACATGGTGAAACCCCATCTCTACTAAAAATAAAAAAATTAACCGGGCATGGTGGCGTGTGACTGTAGTCCCAGCTACTCGGGAGGCTGAGGCAGGAAAATCACTTGAACCCAGAAGGGGAAGGTTGCAGTGAGCCGAGATCGTGCCACTGCACTCCAGCCTGGGTGACAGAGTGAGACTCCCTCTTAAAAAAAAAAAAAACAACTGGTGGAACTGATCCTTAGGGGGCTGGATTGGTTGACAGAAATCCTTCGGTGACATTTCGGAACGACTGCAGCTGAGGGAACAACTGCACTGTCACAGCTTTTCCTGGTACCTGCACAACGTCTACCCAGAGATGTTTGTTCCTGACCTGACGCCCACCTTCTATGGTGCCGTAAGTCTTGAGAACCAACCTGCCTGCGTGGGAGGTTCCCTACCTGCCCCACAGAGGGGTTCAGTCCTGCCCTTTCCAGCCTCTGGGGCTCTGCAGCTCACTTTGCTGTTAGCTCCAGGCATGTGGGTTAATGCACAGAGGAGAGAAATGACAGGGGAAATCCAGTCATGCAAATTTGTTGCAGTTGACTGGAATTTGTTCCAGTGGGGCCCCATACCACACAGGAGGAACCTCCTGACTGTGTCATCCTGCTTCCCCTCTCTGCTCACCCTTCTGCAGATCAAGAACCTCGGCACCAACCAATGCCTGGATGTGGGTGAGAACAACCGTGGGGGGAAGCCCCTCATCATGTACTCTTGCCACGGCCTTGGCGGCAACCAGGTATGCAGCCCACCCATCTCCGGAGCATTTCCTCTCCTCACCAGCTCCCTTTCTCTACCCTAAAGAGTCCTTTCCTGAGGACTGGGAGGGAGGAGATATGATCCCTGCCCTCAGGAAGCTTCCAGTCAGAGGAGAAGGCATAACACACACAAGGTCTGAATAAGGGACATCCAGAGAGAACGAGGCATTGGTGCTGGGTGTGAGAAGGGGATGGGAGGGAGGGTTGTTCATCAGAGGAGGCTTGCTGAAGAAGGCTAGCTGCTGGGGGATATTTAGGGGTGAGGGTGGAAAATTTTCGAGCACACCCCATCACCTACACTCAACTTCTATCTTCAATGCATCTTCTGCCCAGAAGCTACCACTCTGATCCTACCACCTTGCAGTGACCCCAAAACTAGGTGCCCAGCACTAGTAAGAGAGAGGCACTAAAAACAGAGCCGGAGTGGGGAAAGGAGTGGTGTGGGCCGCTGAACAAGCCCGCTGGCATATACAGGTGAAGACAGTCATTCTAGAGCAGTTTCCTGTACCACTGGCCTGCAAGATGATTTCTGGTGGTACACTGAAGAACATTTTTTATTTTAATAGTAATTTATTAGCAAAAATAGAACAAGCATATCACATGATTTCACTGATGTTACTTAAAATGAGGCTAAGTTAAATTTAATTTTAATCTAATTTAAAGGAAATGTGATTAGGCACAATAGCTCACATCTGTAATCCCAGCACTTTGGGAGGGTGAGGCAGGTGGATCACTTGAGCCTAAGAGTTTGAGACCTGTCTGGGCAACATAGCAAGACACCCTGTCTCTATAAAAAATTTTTAAAAAATTAGCCAGGTATGGTGCCACACCCCTGCAGTCTCAGCTACTCAGGAAGCTGATGTGGGAGGATCACTTGAACAAAGGAATTCAAGGTTGCAGTGAGCTATGATCATGCCGCCACACTCTTAGCCTAAGCAACAGAGCAAGACCCTGCCTCAAAAAAAAAAAAAAAAAAAAAAAAAAAAAAACGAGAGAGAAAGAAAATATATCGGTTGGGCACAGTGGCTCACACCTGTAATCCCAGCACTTTGGGAGGCCAAGGTGGGAGGATCACTTGAGCTCAGGAGTTTGAGACCAGCTTGGGCAACACAGAAAGACCCCATCTCATAAAAAAGAATTTTATATATATATAATTCCAGTATAACCCTGATATGGTAACAATCCCAAAGGCAGCACATAAATGAGTAAAGTCTTGGCATGGCCTCACATTCACTCTCCTCCCCAGGAGACCATGCATGGTTGACAGCTCAGGGCAGGTGGCTTTGGAAGGCTGGGGGCAAACTCTCCCCCTGCTTCTCTTGTCTTGATTTCCAGTACTTTGAATACACAACTCAGAGGGACCTTCGCCACAACATCGCAAAACAGCTGTGTCTACATGTCAGCAAGGGTGCCCTGGGCCTTGGGAGCTGCCACTTCACTGGCAAGAATAGCCAGGTCCCCAAGGACGAGGAATGGGAATTGACCCAGGTGAGTTGGTATCCAGAAAGCTCAGAATCAAGAACTTGAGGCCGGGTGCGGTGGCTCACTCCTGTAATCCCAGCACTTTGAGAGGCCAAGGCGGGTGGATCACAAGGTCAGGAGTCCGAGACCACCTGGCCAACATGGTGAAACCCCATCTCTACTAATAATACAAAAATTAGCTGGACGTGGTGGCCGGCGCCTGTAATCCCAGCTACTCAGGAGGCTGAGGCAGGAGAATTGCCTGAACCCAGGAGGCGGAGGTTGCAGTGAGCCGAGATCATGCCATTGCACTCCAGCCTGGGTGACAGAGCGAGACTCCATCTTGGGAAAAATAAAAAATAAAAAAAGAACTTGAGGCCACATCTGCCCATCTATATTTTCTTAATTTTCTTCCTGAAACGCCATGGGGTGAAGTAGAGCAATGTAGAAGGTAGGTGAGTGTGGGCGTGGCAACAGGCAGGGTTCTTGGGGCTTAAAGGGTATTTGGTGATGACTGATGTAAAAATGGGGTGAGAGGTTATGGTTCATGGCTAGCTCTGCCATGGTTGAAGCATTTTTAGGCTGAACCCAATTAGAAGAAGGTGAAGAGTCATTCATAGTTCCTGCTTGTCCTCTGTGTCCTAGGCTCAAAGCTAGGCACTCACATACCTAGGTCCAGTTAATCTTTCAGAGGCTCTTTCCAAGCAGGAATAGTCACTGTTTCTACAGATGAGCTGGAGCCGGAGGAAGCCCAGCATGTCTGTGACTGGCCCAAGACCCACCACTAGTAAATATCAGGCCTGGGATTCAGCCCCAGATGGGTCTGACTTGAAAGCATGGGCTCTTTCCATTACACCACACTGCTACAGGATATGCCATGTTACCGCCACCATGCTGAGCTCAAGCCAGCACCCTGAGTGAGCCTCCCTACTTCACTCCAGCTTAGGAAAGAGGAACCTAACCTGGAGGCTGCAGGGAAGGGGGCAGCCTAAACATAATGCAAGGCAGAAAATTGGAGGTGGAGCAGTGGCCCTGGGTCTGAGCCTAGCCATCTGGGGGTGGGGGAGGCCCTGAAAGCATTTTTCTCTCAGCCCACGATCTTGTCTTTCACCATTTCATCCACTCAGGCTGAAGCTGGGGATGGGGATTTGGTACCAGATAGAGATGGGAACTCAGGAATGTGTCTCATGAGAGGGCAGGAAAGGAATGAGGAAGTGTCTTCTTTGTGCCTTGTGGGGTTCCCTTGGCCTTTTATCAATTGTACCCCATCGCATTGTCCCCGGTAGCACTATTAGAGGTTTGTGGCCCAGATTGACCCTTTGCTCTGTCATCTTTTAGGATCAGCTCATCAGGAACTCAGGATCTGGTACCTGCCTGACATCCCAGGACAAAAAGCCAGCCATGGCCCCCTGTAATCCCAGTGACCCCCATCAGTTGTGGCTCTTTGTCTAGGACCCAGATTATCCCCGGAGAGAGCCCCCACAAGCTCCTCAGGAAACAGGATTGCTGATGTCTGGGAACCTGATCACCAGCTTCTTGGGAGGCCGTAAAGATGGATTTCTAAACCCACTGGGTGGCAAGGCAGGACCCTCCTACTCCTTGCAACAACATTGGGCCCATTTTCTTTCCTTCACGCCAACGGAAGAAACCATTAGGACATATATTTGGCCTAGGGTTTTCCTGTTCTAGAAACAGAGGCTTCCAAAGTAGGGAAGGTAGCTGGGGAAGGGTTCAGGGCAGCAATGCTGAGCTCAAGAAAAGTACTTCAGGCTGGGCACGGTAGCTCATGCCTGAAATCCTAGCACTTTGGGAAGACAAGGTAGGAAAATGGCTTGAGCCCAAGAGTTCAAGACCGGCCTGAGCAACATAGTGAGGATCCCATCTCTATGCCCGCCCCTGCCCCCTCACCAAAAAAGAAAAATAGCTGGGCATGGTGGCTTACGCCTGTAGTTGCAGCTACTCAGAAGGCTGGGGTGGGAGGATTGTTTGCGCCCCGGAGGTTGAAGCTATAGTGAGCCTTGATTGTGTCACTGCACTCCAGCCTGGGCAACAGGTAAGACTCTATCTCAAAAAAAAAAAAAAAAAAAGAAGAAGAAGAAGAAAAAGAAGAAGAAAAGAAAAGTACTTCTACAGCCATGTCCTGATTCCTTGATCATCCAAAGTACCTGCAGAGTCCAGTGAAATGGTATTTTTTGGCTGGGCACAGTGGCTCACACCTGTAATCCTAGCACTTCGGGAGGCCAAGGCAGGTGGATCACCTGAGGTCAGAAGTTTGAGACCAGCCTGGACTACATGATGAAACTCCATCTCTACTAAAAGTACAAAAATTAGCTGGGCATGATGGCACACACCTGCAGTCCCAGCTACTTGGGAGGCTGAGGCAGGAGAATCGCTTGAACCCAGGAGGCAGAGGTTGCTGTGAGCCAAGACCACACCATTTCACCCCAGCCTGGGCAACAAGAGCAAAACTCCATCTCAAAAAAAAAAAAAAAAGTATATTCTAACAGATGGATCAGAGGTCTGAGAGATCCTCCCTTGCTAATATTACCCAAAGTCTGTAAATTATTTACAGATATCTCCCTGACAGGTGTCCTTTATCTTACTTTATCTGTACAATAATCCTGTGAGAAAGACAGGACAGAAACCAGTGTGCCCATTTTACAGATACAAAAACTGAGACACAGGTAAAGGGGCTTGTCTGTAGTCCCATAGCTAGCAGATGGCTGGAGCCAAGACTGAGGTTTGTTCTTCAATGCTGAGCCAGGGCTCCTTCCACTGCACCACAAGAACACTAGACCACTTGCCACCAGCCTTCTTGTTCCCTCTTCCTCCATTCTGATCATTTCTAGCTGGCTGGCCTCCACAGAGCATAGGAAAACAGAGCCAGGGCCAGGCGCGGTGGCTCATGCCTATAATCTCAACACTCTGGGAGGCCGAGCCAGGTGGATAACCTGAGGTCAGGAATTAGAGACCAGCCTGGCCAAAATGGTGAAACCCCATCTCTACTAATAATACAAAAATTAGCTGGAGTTAATGCACAGAGGAGAGAAATGACAGGGGAAATCCAGTCATGCAAATTTGTTGCAGTTGACTGGAATTTGTTCCAGTGGGGCCCCATACCACACAGGAGGAACCTCCTGACTGTGTCATCCTGCTTCCCCTCTCTGCTCACCCTTCTGCAGATCAAGAACCTCGGCACCAACCAATGCCTGGATGTGGGTGAGAACAACCG